AAATATGTCAATCTATCCACATTTTCAATATGGTAGGGCTTTATAAAGATTTATCAGAAAGAAGTACTCTTCTTGGCCCTGTTTATGACTAAATTAATTGCCTTTGGAAATCATAACGAATGATGTGTCAATTACAAAATTTATGAGTCCCAAAATACAAGAGTCAACTACCATTACCAATTGTGTAACAAAAGATTCATTTGGTTACACCCGAGTGTACTGCACTGTCAGCTGACAAATGGAAGACAGTGAGACAATAAAGCAGCGAGCAATAAGTGTCAGTACTTTTAAAACATGTACACATAAATAATAAAATCCACTCAAGTTGTATTTGATAAGCACCCTTAAACAAAAGATTAAAAAAAATGGGCAAGGCAGCTACTGTGGATTCAAAGAACAGCTTTTACCTTTGAATTCCATAGTCTTTCTAATTCATCAAGTTTAGCTTCATACTGAATAATGTTGTCTCTGAGTCTATCATGTGATTTCTGCAGCATTTCTTTTTTATCTAAGGTCATTTGGGACAGTGCATGGCCTTGTTCCTGTCTGTACAATTCAGACTGGGCAGCCATCTCATATGCCTGGATTTTGGCATCCAACACACTTTCCTGAAATGGACATGGTATTATAAGAAAACCACACTTAAGTCTTGAACACATAAAATCAAAAGCTGAATATACAGAACAATGTATGCAATTTTTGGTTTAAAGATATGGCAGAAAATCACTGATGGTGATCCCAAAGGGACAGATACAGGGCACATAATCCTGGGGTCTACCAGCCCAACCTCAAACCATAAAACACACCTTTCATCTAAAGTCCACATTCTTAATAGTATCATGGGTAATTTTGAATTACACAATATGTGTATTGTGTAATATATTTATTATATATCATTTTTATTTATATTATTATATTTAATATATAATTGGTTTGAACCTGCCACCTTATCTGGATCTGCCCCTAATTTTAAGAATCATATATGGATTCATTACCATCCACTTCCAAAATATGTCTTCCTTGCTTTTCCACTCTAACAAATTCTGTAACCTGATGTTGTCCTTTTCTAAAAGCTGGAGATTCTGGAAGGAAAAAATGTCAGTGAGTACTTAACAAGTACATCCCTGTGAGCAAACTTATTCCACATGAGTTAAAAAGAGCAACTGTCTAGTTCTGCTACATATATGTATGGTAATCAAAAATATGATCAAACTAAACAGGACATACTCACTAGCAAGTCTTCAGTGTTAACAAGACTAAAGTTGAAGTAGAAAGTTTATAATAGTATTATTAATACTACATGCAATTAGTGTTAAATATTAAATCACATTATTTACGGCGTTAATGTATCTCTTTTAAGTGTAAAAACAACTGCAGTGTGTGGACTCACCTTTTTCAAAAGTTCTGGGTGTCTCAGCATGTAAACTTCCAGCATGGAAAGATGATTCTTCTCAGGATCCAAGGATATGCCATTGGTAGACTGATGGAGCTGAGAGATAATACAGTAAGGCATTATTGGAAGGGGCAATTTCAAAATTTAATGTTCATAAACAACCTTTTTTCAGATGGCCTGTATGAATGTCCAATGGTTCAGTGAAATCATTTGCTAAAAATAACATTTTATGTGAATTGAAGTAAAGGGAAGAAAGTTAATTTAGTTGCCTTAATTAGAGAAAAGGCAAAAATAAGTGGGGTTTTCAATGACTATCATTGGATATTTTTGAGGTTAAAACTTGAGAAACTGAGTAAAAGCAAATTTTGGAGGACCTGAAAAAAGTGTCAATTGAATTTCATGAATTCAATACAAGAGCTATCATGTAACCTCTTCTAACACCCAGCAGAATAGCACATATTTAAGAAAGATAGATATCAGATATCACATATGATGAATTCCAGACTGCAGTATGACATCCATATTCACATTACATTATGAATTTTCCAATGAAAATATTAGGAAAGTTTCTGCAAAATCAATAAATACAAACCTTATGCATTAATTTTGCTCTTTCCCTTTGAAGTGCATATAGATTACGAAGACTAAGTCTTAATTTTCCGTTCAACCATAACAACTGTTTCACTTTTCGGACAGGGTCTGTTCTAGATCTGGGAGACAGATGAGAGTCATCCAGCACATCTGGCACCCCATCTCCAAGTTCCTCCTATAAAAAATAAAAGATTTGCTGTTGCAATTGTATACATAACCTGACAAGAACTACTTAAAACTATATACTTCTATGAGGCAACTATCACCTACCATGCATATCCCCATTACAATCTATATTGACACATTCTGTAAAACCTTTTCCTTTTCTCTATTAGCATAAAAAGTTCTTTCTTCAAAGTATAAAGTGTCTGTTTCATAACATCCCCATGCATATATATATAAGCCACCATACACTAACCATGTACAGCCCTATTGTATCTTCAGCTAGGGGTGAGGCACAGCTCTCCATGAACTTGTCAATGATCCCCTCTTTGCACATCAACCAACCAAAAGCCAGCAAGAGGTCACGGCTGCCTGTGGACATGTCGGCAGGAAGCAGATTGAAATCAACTGAGGTGAAACCTTGCTGTTGCATTTCCCTCTTCACAAATACAACTAGTTCCTCTGAAATTTAAGTTTACATGTAAGACTCACCAGCCTGACTATTAAGAGCAAATATTTAACTTAAACTTTTCGGACAGTAACATTTATGTTCAAGAACAAACCAAAATGTTAATCTGCATAAAGCATTGAATATTTTTCTACAGTTATGCTAAATATAGGGATGAGACCAGTCCTCACTGAAAAAATATGAAAATTGGCCTGGGGTCCTGGGTACACGATTCACCAGAATGACCCAAATGACCATGAACAAGTCAGAATTCCGCTAGTTGGAAAAGTCTCATCCGTGTGATTTAGAAGCAGCAACTGTCTCATATATGTATATACGAACCATTTAATTGATTAAGCATGACAAATATAAAATGTCCATGCAGACTTCGCTTTGTATCTTACCTTTGGTGAGGTCAGAAAAAGCTTTGACACACACATCATCAATGATGCCATACCTCAGGAAATATATGAGCTCAAACAGCAACCGCCAAAAGGAACTCACCTGTAAAAATACAACAGTAGGTAGGCAAAATGAATTAAAGCCAGTATTTGACCATTATATACTCATATCCAAATACACCTTAACACATTTATCCTTACTATAATGCACAGTAAACAGCATCACATCAATAGAATATGTAAGAAAAAAAATGCAGGCTAAGAAAAGCAACCACTTCACTACAAAGACTATAGACATTATTGGTAATTGTTCTGTCTTAAGCACTTATTAGAATATAAAAAGTTTAAAAGAAATTATAGAATTGCTGAAGATGGTTTATTTGGTCTACTTACAGCATCATCATTATCAAATTTGGCCAGTCGAAACGTTTCAGCTTTTAGGTTGTGTGTTCCATTGTCCTTTAGCACCTTAGTAAGAAGTTCAATGGTGTCCCTTATTTGCGCCATTAGCCTGATAAGGTTCAAGTTCTTTGTATGAATCTGAAAAATTTACGTAGAATTATAGTTATTTACTAAAATAGCATTTAACACAGGTTCAATGTATAGCTGTAGCTTCTTGTTACATCCCATAATTATCAAACAAAATGTGAGGGTTAAAACAAGATTAAGGGCTCATTCCCAATGAAACTATCATTCTACATAGATCGATCCAACTCTGTAGGGACTCTCACTGAAGGCCATCAGATTAGCATGTCTCCTCATTCCCAACATACTCTTATAATCAGCAGCTTTTCTGTATTCTACTAAATGCCAAGCGAAGGTGTGTTTATCTGTTAATCTGATTGTATTCAGCAAGAGTACTTGCAGAGGTTAGTGTAGTGCCAGGGGCAGGTAGAACCGGCCGGGTAGCTCAGTAGGTAAGAGCACTCGCCCTGTAAGCGAGGGGTCCCGGGTTCGATTCCTGGCCTGGTCGGTGATTTTTCTGCACTCACCCCAAATCGCTACATTAGGCCTGATGATATACCGAAGAAGTTCACATTTTTAGGGCGACATTTTGAGCCTATTTATTTATTTTATTTTATTTTTATTTGCATTGTGATCATAAGTCCACACAAAAAAAATCGAGAAAAAATAATTTTTTTCAACTTTTCCCTATTAACCCTGTGCAAAATAGTAGATCTAGAGTCTATATCTGGCTAATCTGCTCAAACAAAAATAGTCTATGTACAACCGACACTTCAAACACCTTTTTGACCGTACAACTGGCGTTTTACTGTGTAGAGATACTTGTTATCGATTATTGCAACTTTCTCCAGACACAGTAATACATATGTAGACTCTAAGTTTTTAATTCAGTATGTTTATGTTATCACAGTAATTGACACTGGAACAGCGTTTTACCTCAGAGAGCTAGAGAATCCTAATCTAGGTATTTCCCCCGCTTCACACAGTTATAGATTACTACGCCAAACGACACAAAACGCAGTCCGGCATAACGTTTGTGCAACTGAATAAATGATATTTTGAAAACTTACGACTGAAACAATGATATAGATGAACTCATATATAAAACTACACGACAACGGGCGTATATTTAGACAGATCCCGATACAAATTTATTGGGTTATGTTGTATGTGAACGTATTTCAATATTTTGTATGTAAAACGGTTGCATGTCAGACATGGCGGAGACAAGTTAGTGTTATGTGCTCTCTCGGTCCATGTTTGAACAGGTTATCATGATAAAACACTAGATAAAACTGCTTATTATTTACATTTTAAACAAAATTATTTAAATATTCCAATGTTGCATATTAACTTAAAGCACGACTGCATGCCCGATATGCAGACGGCAAAGTAGGTTTCTGAAGTTGCCACTAGATGTCACGTCGTACAAAATTTGCTACAGTTCAACTGGATTTTCTCTACTGTTTACTAGCTACCAGTGCATGCACGTCACGCAGTGCATGAATTGTGTGGTCTCGCGGTCTGCTACTGAGTCTCAGAGAGCCAATTTAACGCAAACGCAACCCCTACCACGAATTAGTTTCATTCTTAAGGCATGGCAACACCTGCGGCAAGGCAGCAGACCAGTATTGGCACAAGGAGGGAAGGGGGAGTTGATTATTCCTCAAGATGGGTACTTCACTTAAAACATGCAGTGAAAAAATACGTACACCACCCCCTTCTCCCCATTCCCCCCCCCCCCCCCCGTGCTTTGACAGTGTTTTAATAAACTGCAGGCTTTGAAAGTAGACCTATAGGCTACGAAAAAGAGAAAGGTGACAATGGGCATTAATACAAAATATCAACAAGTAGAAAATGAAAATTTTACATTCGTAACGTCATTAATAATTATAATAATCCAGTATAAAGCTACTATTCGAACTTGAGCAGTAGACCATTGTCGCATACATCACTCAAGTTGGCCCTAAGTTTGACGCTAATGAATCACACGATTTTCCCTGTAGCCTATATTGCGTTGACTGTGAAAAATGCACGGAGGCGACGATGTGCGACGGACGCAGGTGATATATGTAGGCCAACAAACACTAGCTGTACGTGATCGTTTTAATGCTTCCCGCTTATATTTCGCCTTCTTTGCCTTTAGGAATCTAAATAGCATAGTGTCAGGGCCGTAGCCTCCGGGGGGGGGGGGGGGGGGGGGGGGCAGGGGGGG